TACAAACTGGGCGGAACCAGCAGAGACTCAGGAGACACAGGAGATGTAGGAGATTCAGGAGACGCAGGAGATTCAGGAAAGGACGGAACCAGCTGGGACAGGAGATACATATCCTCATCCATATATTTAAATGCTTCAGAGGCCAGCAGCAGCACACCCTCAGTGGTGGGAACGTGGGCAGGGCTTTCCTCCATGCCTCGTACTCCACTATATTCCCACGCGCCTGGCCAAATCTTGTGAGGCTCAGGCTCCAGGGCGATAATAGACTCAGTCGTGGGTTCTACAACTCCTGTGTTGCGGCGGACACGGGCTCTCCGTCTGCAGTGGGCTCTGGCGTGATGGCAGGCTGGGTTCTGAGTCAGGAGTGGGGCTGGAGACGTCTTCCACAGGTCAGATGGTGAAAGCCAATCCACAGTTCACCAGCACCACTCCACAAAATGTGGCAAAGCTCTCTCTATCCCTGCGTTCCATTCGGAAGGGCTCATTCCTATGCCCTAATCCCTTAAATGGGCTTACCCACCGGAGTGAGAGGTTTGAAGGGTTGAAGGGTGTAGTGGACCAAACAACTGTTTCTTGAAGGGGCTGGGTGAAAACAACCCTCGCCAATATTTAGAATTTGGACTGCAATACCTAGTTCAACCACTCGGTGTCAATTCTACATACAGCACCTTTAAAGGGGTCATATGATGTTGCTAAAAATAACATTATTTTGTGTATTTGGTGTAATGAAATGTGTTTATGCGGTTTAAGGTTCAAAACACATTATATCACGCCGCGTAAACATAAACCCATGCCTGCATTTGTGATCGGAGAAATTACAAACTACAAACGCTACTCTACACTGCTCAAAACTCACGTTTGAATCGTCAGTGGCAAATTCTTTATATTTAAAAAACTTACTTACAGTCTGTGAGTCAGAACAGCCGGCATTGTAGTCTACTCTACCAGGATCAGGAAACAGACCTCCAGAAAATGTGCTGCACACATCTGAATATTTGGGTTGAACTGTTCTGGAACAGTGTTGTAAATACAACTTAACCACTGATAGTTGTGTCCTCTTTTGGAAAGCCAAACAAAGTAGTTTTGCTTTCACAACGAAACACAGCATCACACACGGCAGGCTTGAGTGAGCGGAGGCCGGGCTAGAGTGAGCGGCCGGCGGCCTTGAGTGAGGAACGGCTGGCGGGCTAGAGTGAGCGGCGGCCGGCGGATTCAACAAAGGAGCGGCCGGTGGGCTTGCGGCAACCACATGTGACGACCCCGGGCTGGAGTGTCCTCTTTTGGAAGGCCAAAAAAAGTAGTTTCGCTTTCACAACGAAACACAGCGTCACACACAGCGGCCTTGAGTGAGCGTAGGCCGGGGGCTTGCGGCAACCACATGTGACGACCCCGGGGTGGACTCCGCTTCGTCCACGGTGAAAGCCGATCCGCGATCCACAGTGCGATGTTGATGTGTTTCCTCAGCGACCAGCACGGATCAGCTCCAGGCATGACGAAGCAGATATCGAACTCTTTTGGAAGGCCAAACAAAGCAGTTTCGCACAACGATACACACAGTGCCTTCACGACATGGCAGCGGCAACAACAATACTACAGTGAGAATAAAAGTTAAGTCTTCTTTCTTTGCGAGAACATTTGGGCAGAATTGTGAAAATTTTCCCACATAGTGATGTAGATATGGTTAGAACGAGCCGTTTTAGGTAGGCGTGGCTGACTCTTAACTTTTATAAAGAATATCTCTTTGGATTTGAGACTTTAGTCTTTGCAACTTTACAGATCTTCTTTATGCATCAAGAGCTTGTAACACTCCAAAGAGAAAGGAAAAATTTAAATTGCATCATATGACCCCTTTAAGCTAAGAGTAAGGGCGGGGTTGACCTCGTTGGTATGGATGATGTCAGCATGCTTACTAACTATGCACACAGTGATTGGCTGATAGGGGTCTCTGTCAGAAATGTATTCATAGAAATATTGTAGAGTGCAATATTTTGCCATATTCAAATAAAGGTTAAAAAATACAAATGTAAATTGCCACATTCAAATAAAGATTTAGTGTCACTAATTAAACAAGTATATGTTCAGCTATTGTCAGCTTCTTTCATGTATGCTTCTCATAATTAGTGAATATGCATATAAACAGCCTTTAATTAACAGAGTAGAATAATCATGGCTGATAATAAGACAAAGAAAACCAAACTGGACACAAGCACAACTGTTACTTCTTGCCCAGCTGGTTAATGAAAACAAGGATATATGGAAATTTGGAGTTGGGGTTACATTTACATTTAGTCGTTTAGCAGACACTTTAATCCAAAGCGACTTGAAAATGAGGACAATGGAAGCAATCAAAATCAACAAAAGAGCAATGATGTGCAAGTGCTATAACAAGTCTCAGTTAGCTTAACGCAGAACACGTAGCAAGATTTTTTTTTATTATATAATAAATAAAAAGAAAACAGATCGAATAGAAAAATAATAGAGCAAGCTAGTGTTAGAGGCCTTTTTTGCTTTTGCTAATTGTATAATAAAAAGAAAACAGATAGAATACAAAAATATTAGAGAAGCTTGTGTCATTTATTTATTTTTTAAGAAAACAAGCAGCTAGTAAATAAATGGAGTGTAAGTTTTTTTAAAGAATAGAATTAGAATAGAGAGTGCTAGAGTTAGAGGGTCAAATAAAGATAATCTAAGCATAACCTCCAAAACCAAAGTCGATACCTTTATAAAAGCTCATTATAGAATGTAGGAATGGAAGAAGACTGCCCTCTATCGTCCAAAAACACTGTCCAGACACCCGGAAATACATCGATAGATGTTTGATAGCAGACAGACAGACGTACATTCTACACCGAGCTACTCTACAGCACCATCATGATCTTAGAATGGGTCTCATATATTGTGTTTTACCTGCTTGCTGCGGTTTTCTCTGTATTTCTTGCATACTGTCTGTATGTTCATCATGTTCACCAGAAATATGATCATATACCTGGACCTCCAAGAGACAGGTAAAAACTTTAACAATTAGTTTTTGATACAACTACATACTTTTATATTGCAATAAAACACAATTTCAGAAAAATTAACATAAGAACTGATATCCTGACAGTTTTCTGCTGGGACATGTACCAACTTTTGCTAGAGCAATGAAGTCGGACAGCCTTATACATGACTTGTTTGTTCAATGGTAAGAGCAAAACACTTATGTATGAATCCATCAGATTCTTTGCACTTATTATTATTATTTTTTTATTTTTTTACTTAACTAATGTCTTGTTGATTTGACTTTGCACCTACAAAACTTGTCACTATTACATAACAGTGGGGTCCGTGTACGTTTTGATCATTTCATCTCCTATTTGGAATATAATAACGAGAAATGGAAAAACGGCTCGTTTATTCGTTTTTCCGTTTAGTTTAACAAACGGAAAATGAGATTTTGGCTCGGTTTCTCATTTTTTCGTTTGGGGTTTAAAAATGCTGCTGCGACTTGCAAGTGGCCCCTTTAATGCGAGTTACAGTATGCTGATAGATTCTTTCTAGGTAGCCTATTAGTATTGTATGAATATTGTCCCATTGATAAATACAGTGCAAATAGTTCCGTCTCTTTGGATATAAATGAAGTGGAAATAAAAATCAATAATAGACTGAACAGTTCCATGATGATAATATGTCCGTAGCATTTACCACTCTCGTCTTTTATTTAAGTCAAAAGTCACTAGGTAGGTGTGTGTGACATGAATAAATAATTGTGAAAATTAAACATGGCAGCGGCAACAACAATACTACAGTGAGAATAAAAGTTAAGTCTTCTTTCTTTGCGAGAACATTTGGGCAGAATTGTGCAAATCTTCCCACATAGTGATGTAGATATGTGGGGGTGTGTTAGAACGAGCCGTTTTAGGTAGGCGTGGCTGACTCTTAACTTTTATAAAGAATATCTCTTTGGATTTGAGACTTTAGTCTTTGCAACTTTACAGATCTTCTTTATGCATCAAGAGCTTGTAACACTCCAAAGAGAAAGGAAAAATTTAAATTGCATCATATGACCCCTTTAAGCTAAGAGAAAGGGCGGGGTTGACCTCGTTGGTATGGATGATGTCAGCATGCTTACTAACTATGCACACAGTGATTGGCTGATAGGGGTCTCTGTCAGAAATGTATTCATAGAAATATTGTAGAGTGCAATATTTTGCCATATTCAAATAAAGGTTAAAAAATACAAATGTAAATTGCCACATTCAAATAAAGATTTAGTGTCACTAATTAAACAAGTATATGTTCAGCTATTGTCAGCTTCTTTCATGTATGCTTCTCATAATTAGTGAATATGCATATAAACAGCCTTTAATTAACAGAGTAGAATAATCATGGCTGATAATAAGACAAAGAAAACCAAACTGGACACAAGCACAACTGTTACTTCTTGCCCAGCTGGTTAATGAAAACAAGGATATATGGAAATTTGGAGTTGGGGTTACATTTACATTTAGTCGTTTAGCAGACACTTTAATCCAAAGCGACTTGAAAATGAGGACAATGGAAGCAATCAAAATCAACAAAAGAGCAATGATGTGCAAGTGCTATAACAAGTCTCAGTTAGCTTAACGCAGAACACGTAGCAAGATTTTTTTTTATTATATAATAAATAAAAAGAAAACAGATCGAATAGAAAAATAATAGAGCAAGCTAGTGTTAGAGGCCTTTTTTGCTTTTGCTAATTGTATAATAAAAAGAAAACAGATAGAATACAAAAATATTAGAGAAGCTTGTGTCATTTATTTATTTTTTAAGAAAACAAGCAGCTAGTAAATAAATGGAGTGTAAGTTTTTTTAAAGAATAGAATTAGAATAGAGAGTGCTAGAGTTAGAGGGTCAAATAAAGATAATCTAAGCATAACCTCCAAAACCAAAGTCGATACCTTTATAAAAGCTCATTATAGAATGTAGGAATGGAAGAAGACTGCCCTCTATCGTCCAAAAACACTGTCCAGACACCCGGAAATACATCGATAGATGTTTGATAGCAGACAGACAGACGTACATTCTACACCGAGCTACTCTACAGCACCATCATGATCTTAGAATGGGTCTCATATATTGTGTTTTACCTGCTTGCTGCGGTTTTCTCTGTATTTCTTGCATACTGTCTGTATGTTCATCATGTTCACCAGAAATATGATCATATACCTGGACCTCCAAGAGACAGGTAAAAACTTTAACAATTAGTTTTTGATACAACTACATACTTTTATATTGCAATAAAACACAATTTCAGAAAAATTAACATAAGAACTGATATCCTGACAGTTTTCTGCTGGGACATGTACCAACTTTTGCTAGAGCAATGAAGTCGGACAGCCTTATACATGACTTGTTTGTTCAATGGTAAGAGCAAAACACTTATGTATGAATCCATCAGATTCTTTGCACTTATTATTATTATTTTTTTATTTTTTTACTTAACTAATGTCTTGTTGATTTGACTTTGCACCTACAAAACTTGTCACTATTACATAACAGTGGGGTCCGTGTACGTTTTGATCATTTCATCTCCTATTTGGAATATAATAACGAGAAATGGAAAAACGGCTCGTTTATTCGTTTTTCCGTTTAGTTTAACAAACGGAAAATGAGATTTTGGCTCGGTTTCTCATTTTTTCGTTTGGGGTTTAAAAATGCTGCTGCGACTTGCAAGTGGCCCCTTTAATGCGAGTTACAGTATGCTGATAGATTCTTTCTAGGTAGCCTATTAGTATTGTATGAATATTGTCCCATTGATAAATACAGTGCAAATAGTTCCGTCTCTTTGGATATAAATGAAGTGGAAATAAAAATCAATAATAGACTGAACAGTTCCATGATGATAATATGTCCGTAGCATTTACCACTCTCGTCTTTTATTTAAGTCAAAAGTCACTAGGTAGGTGTGTGTGACATGAATAAATAATTGTGAAAATTAATAAAGTTAAATTCATGAAATAAATTCGAAATAAAGTTTACATTTATGAATGTAAGCATGTGTAGCCAACTCAGTTCAAAAGAAAAGAATGAGATAGAAAAGAGAGAAGGTAGAATCAGTGAACACACCTTAATACTGACAAAAAAAGAACAGGGTTAAGGTCAAATAAAATCCCTATTTTTCATGCCTTAGAATTTTATTAGTTTTATTACATACTAAATTGGTTGAAGTTTCTCTTCTTAGTCTTCTTTGTTGGACTTGAGAAAGCCTACATATATTTAAACATTATTATTATTATTTATTGTGAGAGTAATTGACACGGATTTACCTTCCCAAAAAATCCTATTGACTTTCGTTATCTGAGCAATGAAGGCCTTAATACTTAATGTCCACTAGAGGGGGCGACAGGATTTTAAAAAATTAAGTCTACTTTTTCCTGTTTACATCAGTTTAAATGACAAATAAATACATGAATTTCATGTGTACTGCATGAATATGCCATATCTGTGTACAAGAACAAGCTTCACACTTCAAGCTGTACAACTACTTAAAACTTCCCATTCTGGCTTTTTCAAACTATCTCCAAGTTTCTTTTAAGATATTATTTATTCACACTAGTTATCTATCTATCTATCTATCTATCTATCTATCTATCTATCTATCTATCTATCTATCTATCTATCTATCTATCTATCATCTATCATCTATCTATCTGTCTGTCTTTCTGTCTATCATCTACCTATCTATCTATCTATCTATCTATCTATCTATCTATCTATTTGTCTATCTATCATCTATATATCTGTCAGTCTGTCTGTCTATCATCTATCTATCTATCTATCTATCTATCTATCGTCTATCTGTCTGTCTGTCTGTCTATCTATCGATCTATCTATCTGTCTATCTATCTATCTATCTATCGTCTATCTGTCTGTCTGTCTGTCTATCTATCGATCTATCTATCTGTCTATCTATCTATCTATCTATCGTCTATCTGTCTGTCTGTCTGTCTATCTATCGATCTATCTATCTGTCTATCTATCTATCTATCTATCGTCTATCTGTCTGTCTGTCTGTCTATCTATCGATCTATCTATCTGTCTATCTATCTATCTATCTATCGTCTATCTGTCTGTCTGTCTGTCTATCTATCGATCTATCTATCTGTCTATCTATCTATCTATCTATCGTCTATCTGTCTGTCTGTCTGTCTATCTATCGATCTATCTATCTGTCTATCTATCTATCTATCTATCGTCTATCTGTCTGTCTGTCTGTCTATCTATCGATCTATCTATCTGTCTATCTATCTATCTATCTATCGTCTATCTGTCTGTCTGTCTGTCTATCTATCGATCTATCTATCTGTCTATCTATCTATCTATCTATCGTCTATCTGTCTGTCTGTCTGTCTATCTATCGATCTATCTATCTGTCTATCTATCTATCTATCTATCGTCTATCTGTCTGTCTGTCTGTCTATCTATCGATCTATCTATCTGTCTATCTATCTATCTATCTATCGTCTATCTGTCTGTCTGTCTGTCTATCTATCGATCTATCTATCTGTCTATCTATCTATCTATCTATCGTCTATCTGTCTGTCTGTCTGTCTATCTATCGATCTATCTATCTGTCTATCTATCTATCTATCTATCGTCTATCTGTCTGTCTGTCTGTCTATCTATCGATCTATCTATCTGTCTATCTATCTATCTATCTATCGTCTATCTGTCTGTCTGTCTGTCTATCTATCGATCTATCTATCTGTCTATCTATCTATCTATCTATCGTCTATCTGTCTGTCTGTCTGTCTATCTATCGATCTATCTATCTGTCTATCTATCTATCTATCTATCGTCTATCTGTCTGTCTGTCTGTCTATCTATCGATCTATCTATCTGTCTATCTATCTATCTATCTATCGTCTATCTGTCTGTCTGTCTGTCTATCTATCGATCTATCTATCTGTCTATCTATCTATCTATCTATCGTCTATCTGTCTGTCTGTCTGTCTATCTATCGATCTATCTATCTGTCTATCTATCTATCTATCTATCGTCTATCTGTCTGTCTGTCTGTCTATCTATCGATCTATCTATCTGTCTATCTATCTATCTATCTATCGTCTATCTGTCTGTCTGTCTGTCTATCTATCGATCTATCTATCTGTCTATCTATCTATCTATCTATCGTCTATCTGTCTGTCTGTCTGTCTATCTATCGATCTATCTATCTGTCTATCTATCTATCTATCTATCGTCTATCTGTCTGTCTGTCTGTCTATCTATCGATCTATCTATCTGTCTATCTATCTATCTATCTATCGTCTATCTGTCTGTCTGTCTGTCTATCTATCGATCTATCTATCTGTCTATCTATCTATCTATCTATCGTCTATCTGTCTGTCTGTCTGTCTATCTATCGATCTATCTATCTGTCTATCTATCTATCTATCTATCGTCTATCTGTCTGTCTGTCTGTCTATCTATCGATCTATCTATCTGTCTATCTATCTATCTATCTATCGTCTATCTGTCTGTCTGTCTGTCTATCTATCGATCTATCTATCTGTCTATCTATCTATCTATCTATCGTCTATCTGTCTGTCTGTCTGTCTATCTATCGATCTATCTATCTGTCTATCTATCTATCTATCTATCGTCTATCTGTCTGTCTGTCTGTCTATCTATCGATCTATCTATCTGTCTATCTATCTATCTATCTATCGTCTATCTGTCTGTCTGTCTGTCTATCTATCGATCTATCTATCTGTCTATCTATCTATCTATCTATCGTCTATCTGTCTGTCTGTCTGTCTATCTATCGATCTATCTATCTGTCTATCTATCTATCTATCTATCGTCTATCTGTCTGTCTGTCTGTCTATCTATCGATCTATCTATCTGTCTATCTATCTATCTATCTATCGTCTATCTGTCTGTCTGTCTGTCTATCTATCGATCTATCTATCTGTCTATCTATCTATCTATCTATCGTCTATCTGTCTGTCTGTCTGTCTATCTATCGATCTATCTATCTGTCTATCTATCTATCTATCTATCGTCTATCTGTCTGTCTGTCTGTCTATCTATCGATCTATCTATCTGTCTATCTATCTATCTATCTATCGTCTATCTGTCTGTCTGTCTGTCTATCTATCGATCTATCTATCTGTCTATCTATCTATCTATCTATCGTCTATCTGTCTGTCTGTCTGTCTATCTATCGATCTATCTATCTGTCTATCTATCTATCTATCTATCGTCTATCTGTCTGTCTGTCTGTCTATCTATCGATCTATCTATCTGTCTATCTATCTATCTATCTATCGTCTATCTGTCTGTCTGTCTGTCTATCTATCGATCTATCTATCTGTCTATCTATCTATCTATCTATCGTCTATCTGTCTGTCTGTCTGTCTATCTATCGATCTATCTATCTGTCTATCTATCTATCTATCTATCGTCTATCTGTCTGTCTGTCTGTCTATCTATCGATCTATCTATCTGTCTATCTATCTATCTATCTATCGTCTATCTGTCTGTCTGTCTGTCTATCTATCGATCTATCTATCTGTCTATCTATCTATCTATCTATCGTCTATCTGTCTGTCTGTCTGTCTATCTATCGATCTATCTATCTGTCTATCTATCTATCTATCTATCGTCTATCTGTCTGTCTGTCTGTCTATCTATCGATCTATCTATCTGTCTATCTATCTATCTATCTATCGTCTATCTGTCTGTCTGTCTGTCTATCTATCGATCTATCTATCTGTCTATCTATCTATCTATCTATCGTCTATCTGTCTGTCTGTCTGTCTATCTATCGATCTATCTATCTGTCTATCTATCTATCTATCTATCGTCTATCTGTCTGTCTGTCTGTCTATCTATCGATCTATCTATCTGTCTATCTATCTATCTATCTATCGTCTATCTGTCTGTCTGTCTGTCTATCTATCGATCTATCTATCTGTCTATCTATCTATCTATCTATCGTCTATCTGTCTGTCTGTCTGTCTATCTATCGATCTATCTATCTGTCTATCTATCTATCTATCTATCGTCTATCTGTCTGTCTGTCTGTCTATCTATCGATCTATCTATCTGTCTATCTATCTATCTATCTATCGTCTATCTGTCTGTCTGTCTGTCTATCTATCGATCTATCTATCTGTCTATCTATCTATCTATCTATCGTCTATCTGTCTGTCTGTCTGTCTATCTATCGATCTATCTATCTGTCTATCTATCTATCTATCTATCGTCTATCTGTCTGTCTGTCTGTCTATCTATCGATCTATCTATCTGTCTATCTATCTATCTATCTATCGTCTATCTGTCTGTCTGTCTGTCTATCTATCGATCTATCTATCTGTCTATCTATCTATCTATCTATCGTCTATCTGTCTGTCTGTCTG